ATGATTCTATATCTAGAAAATTATAGTCTCAGCCCAAAAGCTCCTTCAGTTGGTAAACAACTTCAGAAAAGTTGCAGGATACAAAATCAATGTACAAAAATTACTAGCATTCCTATATACCAACAACCAAACTGAGAGCCAAATCAGGCAATCCCATTCACAGTTGCCCACCGCCCCCTCTCCACACACACACACAAAACCTAGGAATACAGTTAACCAGGGAGATAAAATACCTCTACAGTGAGAATTTTAAAACACTGCTCACATAAATCAGAGAAGATACAAACAAATGGAAAACATCCCATGCTCATGCATAGGAAGAATCAATATCATTAAAATGGCAATACTGCCCAAAGCAGTTTATAGATTCAATGCTATTCCTATCAAACTACCAATAACATCTTCATAAAACTAGAAAAAAATTTCAAAATTTATATGGAACCAAAAAGCCCAAATACCCAAGGCAGTCTTAAGCAAAAAGAAAAAGCTGGAGGCATCACATTACCTGACTTCAAACTATACTACAAGGCTATAGTGACCAAAATAGCATGGTACTGATACAAAAACAGGCACATAGACCAGTAGAACAGAGAACCCAGAGATAAGGCCGCATATCTACTACCATCTAATCTTTGACAAAGCTGACAAAAACAAGCACTGAGGAAAAGATGTCCTGTTTAATAAATGGTGCTGGGATAACTGGCTAGCCATATGCAGAAGTTTGAAGCTGGACCCCTTTCTTACACCATATACAAAAATCAGCACAAGATGGATTAAAGACAAATATAAAAACCCTGGAAGACAACCTAGGCAATACCATCCTGCACATAGGAATGGGCAAAGATTTAATGACAGACAACAAAAGCAAAAATTGACAAATTAGATCTAAATAAGAGCATCTGAAACTATCAACAGAATAAAGATAACCTACAGAATGGGAGGAAGTATTTGCAAACTATGCATGTGACAGAGGTCTAATATCTAGCATCTATGAGGAACTTAAATTTAGAAGAGAAAAACAACCCCATTAAAAAGTAGACAAAGGATACGAACAGACACTTCTCAAAAGGAAGACACAATCAACCAGCATATGAAAACTCAGTATCACTGATTGTTAGAGAAACGCAATCAAAGCCACAATAAGATACCATCTCATTACCAGTCAGAATGGCTATTACTAAAAAGTAAATAAAAATAGGGCTGGGCACAGTGGCTGAGAACTGTAATCCCAGCACTTTGGGAGACTGAGGTGGGTGGATCATGAGGTCAGGAGTTCAAGACCAGCCTGGCCAACATGGTAAAATTCCATCTCTACTAAAAACAAAAATAAAAAAAATTAGCCACATGTAATCCCAGCTACTCAGGAGGCTGAGGCAGGAGAATTGCTCAAACCCAGAAGGTGGAGGTTGCAGTGAGCTGAGGTCACACCACTGCACTCCAGCCCGGGTGACCAAGTGAGACTCTGTCTTAAAAAATAAAAATACATGCTGGTGATGTTGTAGAGAAAAGGGAACCCTTATACACAATCGGTAGGAGTGTAAATTACTTCAGCCATTGTGGAAAACAGTAAAGAGCTAAATGCAAAACTACCATTCAAGCCAACAATCCCATTACTGGGTAGAGACCCAGAGGAATATAAAGCATTCTACCATAAAGATACATGTAAACAAATGTTCATTGCAGCACTGTTCACAATAGCAAAGACATGGAATCAATTAAATGCCCATCCATCAATGACAGACTGGATAAAGAAAATGTGGTACATATACACCATGGAATATTATACAGCCATAAAAAATAATGAGATTATATCTTTCACAGGAACATGAATGGAGTTGCAGGCTGTTAGCAAACTAACACAGGAACAGGAAACCAAATACCACATGTTCTTTCTTAGAAGGGGTAGCTAAATGATAATTTATAAACACAAGGAAACAACAGACACAGGTCTACTTGATGGGGGAAAGGGGAAGGAAAGAGAGGATCAGAAAAGATAACTGTTGGGTACTGAGCTTAATACCTGGTGATACGATAATACATATGACAAACCCCCATGACGTGTTTATGTAATATTCACATGTCCTTCAAACCTAAAATTTTTTTTAAAAAACAATAGGCTGGGCGCGGTGGCTCACGCCTGTAATCCCAGCACTTTGGGAGGCCGAGGCGGGTGGATCACGAGGTCAACAGATCGAGACCATCCTGGTCAACATGGTGAAACCCCGTCTCCACTAAAAATACAAAAAATTAGCTGGGCACGGTGGTGCATGCCTGTAATCCCAGCTACTCAGGAGGCAGAGGCAGGAGAATTGGCTGAACCCAGGAGGCGGAGGTTGCAGTGAGCCGAGATCATGCCATTGCACTCCAGCCTGGGTAACAAGAGCGAAACTCCGTCTCAAAAAAAAAAAAAAAATAGTAACATGAAATATTACTGGTTACAGTGTACTATAACATATAATAATAATGAAAAAGTTTGAAATATTGAGAGAATTCCCCAAATGTGACACAGACATTGAGTACATGTAGTTGAAAAAAAAGGTGCCAATAGGCTTGCTTGATGCAAGGTTGTCACAAACCTTCAATTTGTAAAAATAAATGCAGTTATCTGTGAAGCAAAATACAGCAAAATGCAATAAAATGTGCCTGTATATCATATTTTTTAATAGACGCGGTTAAGTACAGTTCCTAAAAATCTGGTTTCTTCTGCTCTCCTTTTGCAATGTTTTCATGGGAATTTTATGTCATGGGAAAAAGTGAGGAAATTTATGAAATAAAGTTGTTTTGGTCTAATGCCATGTGTTATCGGGAAACAGCAGCTATGTGCAGACAGGGCAGCATGACATGCCTCAGACAGGATGTGAGTCTGAAATAGAGAAGTGCATTAGGTAGGGGCTGGCTAGACTACTTGAACAAAGATTCAGCAGTAATGCATTGTTTCGTGTCTTTGTAAAGTTAACCTAAGGTAAGCATTCTGGTTAGACAAGTGATCTGGTGCCCACTTGATCCCTTCTGTGGTGTTGCTCTGCCACCCCCAGGGTATTTATCAGCTAAGCGGCTGAGGGAAAACCAGAAAGTCCAGCAGCTGGGAAAGGGAGAGAGCCAAAGGCCACAGCAGAGGGTCTCCTTTTAACCAAGCGATGCCACAGTGTTTGTGTCCCTTGTGGGAACATTCTGCGATGAATAGTCACTTGGCCATATGCAGCATGTGAGGTGACAAATGTGATTTTAACTGAACAGCCTGGTGCTCTGAGAAGGAAACAGTTTAAAGGGGATAGCCAGCAGTTTCCACCTAATGTGGCTATATTGGAATCTGTGTGAATCACACGTAGACCACGCTTCTGTTAAACCCATGCCCAGCAACCGTTTTCATTGGTTGTGCCAGTGAACAGGGGTAAATTTAGTAAGAGCGCAAATGCTGTTATGCTCTTGTAGAGTCAGGGCAGCTCTTAGGTAGTCATGTTACATCTTGTGGCGTGAAAATATTAAGCACTTCATAACTGTCTCGTTTTCACATGTGGCTAATTGTAATTGGTAAATAGTTGAAATACTGTTCTTTAAGTCTCACTACCAGTAACTTTTCTTCTGAATTCATTAGGTAACTGTATATGCTAATTTGGGTGATTATTTTTTGCTTGGCCTCACTTCTGATGGTGGTGCTAGTGAGCTGTGAATCCATCACCAGGCAGCCTGCAGGAAAAGGATGCCAAACATGAAGCAAGAGGCCTATCAAAAACATTGAAATCTGCAGAACCATACTCTTTACTAAGAGTTAGCAATGTCTGCAAAGAAGTGTAAGATATCCTGGATACATACTGCTTTAGTTTAGGGCAATGTTTAAGAAATGCAGAGTTGCTTGAATATTCATATATTTCATCTTCTTTTGAAAGAATACTACATTGTATTCTTTTATACATTGAAAGAATACTATATAATTTTCTAGTGGTATGCTAAAAAGTGTTCTTTATGTCTTCCTAATGTTCTGAAAGTATTTTTCTCCCTTGAGGATTTTCTTACCCAAAAAGTGGCTAGAAGCTGAGAGCACTGGTTTTGATTTTATCTCCACTAGCCAGGTCATGAACTAGTTATATACTTACTATATCCTTTTCATACTTCTTGTAAAATGGGAAATTTAAGAAGGGTTACTTCTTAACAAAACTGAGAAAAGAATTTCAGGCTCTAAAATGATTTTCCATGATATCTGTGTCACCTATTAGAGATCTTAGAACATCTGTGGAGACCTTGAATTTCTATTATTGTGAATAACTATTTTCTTAGTCTTATTGATAGAATTTGTTTGAGAAGAAATAAAGTTATGTTATCTCTAGCCTGTCATTAGACGCATTGGGTCCTTAGAGCCCTTAGATCTCATTTAAGATCATAATTTTTTTTTTTTTTTCAAGGAATCAGGGTCTCATTCTATTGCCCAGGCTGGAGTGCAGTGGCACAGTCTTGGCTCACTAAAGCCTTGGCCTCCTGGATTCAAGTGATCCACCAGCCTCAGCTTCACAAGTAGCTGAGACTACAAGCACACAGTCACCATGCGTGGCTAATTTTTAAATGTTTTTGAAGAGACAGGGTCATGCTATGTTGCTTAGACGGGTCTCAAACTCCTGACCTCAAGCAGTCCTCCTGCCACACCCTTCCAAGTTGCTGGGACTACAGTTGTGAGCCACTGCACCCAGCACAAGATCATTCTTTTTTTTTTGAGATGGAGTTTCACTCTTGTTACCCAGGCTGGAGTGCAATGGTGCGATCTCGGCTCACCACAACCTCCGCCTCCTGGGTTCAGCCAATTCTCCTGCCTCAGCCTCCTGAGTAAGCTGGGATTACAGGCCCACACCACCATGCCCAGCTAATTTTTTGTATTTTTAGTAGAGACGGGGCACAAGATCATTCTTAGTGCAGACTAATAACCTCTAAAGGAAAGAAGTGGAGGAAAAACTGGAAGGGATAAGTTCTGCTGGGACAGTAAGTCTGAGTTGCTCCCCTTTGTTTGCTAGGTGGAGGAGGAGCTGCAGGAGCAAGACTTCTTGGACCGCTGCTTCCAAGAGATGCTGGATGAAGAAGACCAAGACTGGTTTATTCCATCACGAGACCTGCCTCAGGCCATGGGACAGTTGCAGCAGCAGTTAAATGGACTGTCAGTCAGTGATGGTCATGATTCTGAAGACATTTTGGTAAGAGCCATATGTAGTTTCCCATGTTACATTGTAAAAAGGATATAGGATTTGGAATGACAGACTTACTTTCTGGCCCTGCAACCCTCAACAAGTCTTTGGAGCCCTGTGAGCTGCTGTTTCTTTGCTGGTAATATGGGCATTATTAATAAGGGGTGCATTGAAGGTGCATTGCTCTTCATGAAGCACTATAAAACATTACTCTTGCTAGCATCGCCACCTTTTTTTTTTTCCTTGCCAGGATCGGATGCCACCAACTTTTATTTTCTAATAGGCTCTTCAAAGTAGAATTGGGATTAAGAATAACAATTTGAGGCTGGGCGCAGTGGCTCAAGCCTGTAATCCCAGCACTTTGGGAAGCCGAGGCGGGTGGATCACGAGGTCAACAGATCGAGACCATCCTGGTCAACATGGTGAAACCCCATCTCTACTAAAAATACAAAAAATTAGCTGGGCATGGTGGCGCGTCCCAGCTACTCGGGAGGCTGAGGCAGGAGAATTGCCTGAACCCAGGAGGCAGAGGTTGCGGTGAGCCAAGATCGCGCCATTGCACTCCAGCCTGGGTAACGAGCGAAACTCCATCTCAAAAAAAAAAAAAATATATATATATATATAAAGAATAACAATTTGAATACTGAAGAAGTTTCTTCTTAAATTATCATTTGCTGCTATTCTCTTTTATTGTCCCCCAAATCTGTATTTAATATATTTTTAAATGATTCTGTTATAAAAATTAGCTGTTCATTTTGGAAGAAATGTACTCCTGAGAGGTCATTTTCTTCACTTAGAAAACCAGATAAATGAATTTCCTGCCTTTCCTATTTATGTAACGTCAGAAGTCTGTGAGCAGGCTGGGCATGGTCACTCACACCTATAATCCCAACACTTCGGGAGGCCAAAAAGGGTGGATCACCTGAAGTCTGGAGTTCGAGACCAGCCTGGCCAACATGGCGAAACCCCACCTCTACCAAAACAACACAGAAATTAACAAGGCATGGTGGTGCATGCCTGTAGTCCCAGCTTGGGAGGCTGAGGCAGGAGATTGCTTGAACCTGGGAGGCAGAAGTTGCAGTGAGTCGAGATTGCACCACTGTACTTCATCCTGGGTGACAGAGCAAGACTGTCTCAAAAAAAGTCTGTAATATAGTTTTCACACAAGTCGTATTCTGAACAATCTTCCTTGTGGTTTGCTAAGGTTTGGGATATTCACAAGAGAGTAGAGAACCAAAGAGAGTAAAGAAAGATGAAGAAAAATAGAGATTATAGTATCCAGACTGGTCTGATGGAGTACCCTGGTTTTCAACAAGTTAAGGTACTCAATGATTTGAAAAATTCTTCTTGGAGTTGAAATTACAGGCCTCTGATGACATTTTGGAAAGCATCAGGAAGGAAACAAGAGTTTAAAGAAAGAAGAAGATGAGCTTGCTCAGGGCTATGTCAGGAGCAGTTGAGAACAACCTAGCAATAACAGCCTGCTTTACAAGGAGTTTTCTTTCTTTCTCTCCCTAAAGCCTAAAGGGGAAGGTACTGATAATGATGGACTGGGGAAGTTTTAAAGTGCAGCTTGCCTTGGGATTTATTATCTCTTGGTTCTTATTTCAGAGCAAAAGTAACCTGAACCCAGATGCCAAGGAGTTTATTCCAGGAGTGAAGTACTGAGCCAACAAATCTTTGAGGAGGACTTGTCTGTCCCCACATCTGGGGATAGTAATGCACAAAATGGAGGAGCTGAAGAGGGGGGTGGGGCGGGCAAGGGGTGCACAGTGGGAAGGGGAGTGGTGGTCTCTCGATACTGTGACTCTGAGTAACTAATGTGCTCAGTCTTATTCTACAAGCCTCTGAGTATTTCTGTTTTCTCCTGCTGACTTTTGTTTGGAGCAGTTTCCTGTTTTGTTTTTTTAAATAGCTCTTTCAAGTTAACAAAATTGCATTTTCCCCCCTTCATCAGAAGTTTTCTGCGGTGTGTGTTTAAACAAAATAAGCTGACCAAGAAAAACTGGGTATTTAGGAAATGCCCTCTCATCCTGCTGTGAGACAGTGAGATCTGGAGAGCTTCTTGTGGAATCTGTTGAGCTAGAAGGGAAAAGGGACAAGCAGAAAGAGCAGGTGGTGCAAACCGGAATTTGAGGCTTAGCTCCCCCACCCCTGGGGTTTCCTGCAATTAACTGGGATAACCAATGGCCTGCTGAGCCCTTCCCTCTTTGTCCTGAACCCCATTCAAGAAAACACAGACTTAAAGTACTTAGTTTACAGTAACTTTTGATGATTGTTGAAAGCTGTAAATCAGAAGGTGGGGCTGTGATGGCTGTTGTCACTTGAGTCATTTAGTTACTGTTGTCCTGTTCATAAGCCTCAGTTCACCACCACCTCAGACTCACCATTTATAAGTAAAAGAGCACTAGGGTTGATCTGCCACCTCATCTTTCATAGAGTCTATTCCCCAGCCTCCTTTACACTCTATTCTACTCTGTTTTTAAGAAAAGATACTGCTACCAAAGGCATAGGAGAGACCTGCTATGCTGGCCATTAGCATGAGCCTGCAGAAGTCATTCTTGAATTATTTGGACAGTTTTTTTCCAGCGTCATCAACACTTGGTCTTCCTGGTGTCTTAATTCCCTCAGACAAGTTTATACGCTTTTTTTTTTTTTTTGAGACGGAGTTTCACTGTCGTTACCCAGGCTGGAGTGCGATGGCGTGATCTTGGCTCACTGCAACCTCCGCCTCCTGGGTTCAGGCAATTCTCCTGCCTCAGCCTCCCGAGTAGCTGGGATTACAGGCATGCGCCACTGTGCCCAGCTAATTTTTTGTATTTTTAGTGGAGACGGGGTTTCACCATGTTGACCAGGATGGTCTCGATCTGTTGACCTCGTGATCCACCCGCCTCAGCCTCCCAAAGTGCTGGGATTACAGGCGTGAGCCACTGCGCCTGGCTGTTTATGCACTTTTTTAAGGAAATATTTTTCAGGACACTAGTAAGAAGCTCAATTCATAGTTTGGATATTTCTCCCCACCTTACAGAATTATGGAAAGGAACTCAAAACCAGCCTAGGAGAGTGAGTCCTGCTTGACCCATGTGATTGTATACCTGACCCTCTGGGATCTTTTCAGCTATTAAAACATTTTACTATTCCCACATACCCAGTTTTGCAGGTTTCCTAGATTGACCTCTTAGGGTATGTTTCTTTGTCTTTCCTGCCTTTAACTTGCTGGGGTCTTTTGTTGCAACCCTTGAGAAACTAAACTGGGTGCTAGGACCTGCCTTTGTATATAGAGATGTAGATGGCAGTGTGGTGTTTAAGAGAGCCTAGCAGGCCATTCTCCTAGGGATGAGGATTTGCAGAGCCCTGAAGGTAATAGAGGCTTTTCTCTGATTGCTGCTGTGCTGATAGGCCTACAGGGAAAAAGATACGTAACTTGAAATAAAGTTGGTGTAAATTCAGTATGTGGATGTGGGACAGAGGTTGGAAGGAAAGGACCAGGGTATGGAAAGCTGAAGACATTCTCCTCATGAGCTCTCATTGACTTTTTGAACAGTGACAAGCTAATGCCAGATTTAAAAAACAAACTCACATTTTTTTTTTTCTATTTGAGTCCGTAGGATTATATCATTTGAAAAAATTGCCTTCCTTGTTACTTCACATGTCATAGAAGAGTAGCTTAGAGAACTTGTATTACCAAACATACACATTAATTCCCAAAGCCTCTATGTTGAGAGGATGAAACTGTTAACTCTTTTTCAGAGAGGACTATGAATAAAGAAGCTTCAGCTTTCAGCTGGGTTTTTCCCTCTAAAAAGGAAAGGGCATTGCAAGTGCATATAGGAAATTTCTCTCTTCTGGGACTGCTTTTCCTCCTTCATCCTCCATGAGCCTGTCCAAGCTCAGAATTCTGAAGGCTGTTAGAAATATGTTGGGATTGCAGAGAGAAAGGGGCTTGACTGTTCTTCGGCTGTGTTGGTCTGTTTTGGATGTCAGTCTTCAGCATGATTTCACAAGGCATATTTGGTCAGGACTCTGAAAACTTCCTGCCAGTTTAGCATGGAAAGTGAGGGCTCTGGCATTTGTAGTCCTCTTTAGACACTGCATGTGCTGACTCCAGGTAAGGGAGGCAACTAACAAAGTGATTCTTTTTTAAATGTGTAGGACTCTGCTTCCAGCAGTTCCTCTTGTAGTCCAACTCTTTTTGCCATCTACTTTATGTTGGGAGGTGGGGGCACAATTGTCACTCACAACACAGGCTCCACTAGTTAGAATTTGCTACCTTCTTAGCAGAAAATGCACGCGTGTCTTCTTGGACCTTCACTGGGGAAGGGCTGGGAGCCTCTGGATGTCTCAGACTTCTCTCACAGAAGAACCAGCAAGCTAGCCTGGACACCTGTACTTTTTAATAGTGAGACTTGTATTTCTAAGGGATCATTTTGATGTTGGATTTAAGCCACTACTCTGTTTAAACTTTTTTTTGTAATTGGCAACTAGAAGTTTGATAATTTGCATAGAAATAGAACATGTATTTTTAACAGTTGCCAATCTGGCTGATCCCAGTGTTAGTTTATTAATGATCGACATGTAATTATTGGGATTATTTATTTGACTCTAAAATTCCAAGATGAAAATAATTTATCTCTTTCTTTTCAAGGGAAAAATAACCAAGTGAATGCCTTTCAATTTGTCCAGGCCTTTGAACTGCAGCAGAAAATTCAAGGATACAGCCAAGGCCTGGGCGAATGCAGCCCTGGGTCTTTGGGCCGGTTTCTGACTATAATAGTTGACTTTTGGGATTCACATAAGAGTGAAACCAGAAGGATCCTAAGGTACCTTTATCCAAAACCAGAACGATCCTGTAGCACCTTTATCCAAAGTCATAGAAGCTGGGGTCTCTCCTTATTTTATTTTTGTTATTGTTGTTTGTTTATTTTTTTGAGACATAGTCTTAATCTGTCACCCAGGCTGGAGTGCAGTGGTATGACCATAGCTCACTGCAGCCTCAAACTCCTGGGCTCAAGCAGTCCTCCCATCTCAGCCTCCAGAGTAGCGGGGACAACAGGTATTCACTACAGATGGCTAATTATTTTTATTATTTTTATTTTTTGTAGAGACTGGATCTCGCTCATTTCCCAAACTGTTCTTGAATTCTTGAATTCAGCCTCCCAAAGTGCTGGGATAATAGTCATGAGCCACCACACCTAGCCTAGGGTCTGTTTAATTAAGTTTATAATGCTTACTGTGGCTTAAAATGCCAAGCAGCATTTTCCAAATTGTTTATTGCTATTGCCTTGATTTTGGAGAAGGTGGGAAGTAAGGAGGTGAGGTGAATGCTCTAGCAATGAACACATCTTAGAGAGGAAAGTTGTGTGAAGAGGTTGCGAAAGTAAACAGCATGAATCTTTCTACGTTAGGGCTGCTGCAAACCCCAGGTAGACAAATGACAGCCCAGGCTTCTGAGCCATCAGGAACCCAGGAGTCTACTGTACTGTGAGGAGGGGGCAGGCATTCTTCAATAAGGGTCCCACCATTTCAGGCTAATAGTCCTTCTCAGTTTAGGTGATACTGCCCTATTGGAACTGGTAGAAACCTGACAGATTTGATCAAGATTTGGAGATGTCTGCATATTGGGAAGGACTGGGTGTGCCTAGCCACTCTCCTCTGGGATAATGCAGACGTCATTAGTTTAGGAAGCAGGTGGGGAGAACAGGAGGATTGATTCTGATTTGGTTTCTAGTCAGTGCCTCCGTCCACATTTCCCCACATCACTCACTGCACCTTGCATTGCTCACAGGGATTATTAGTCCTCCCAGAAGGCAGAGTACCTTCTGCAGCCCCTGCTCTGCTGTCTTGTGAATTTCCTCCACAGACTTGATTAGTTATCATTTGAAACAGGCTTTTTGTCTTTTTTCCTTTGTTTTAATCTTCTCCCATAATGAAGCTGCTAATGGTGACAGGGACAGGGGAACAGCTAGTCAACCCAGGGAAACACGTGAGTTTCCTGCACACCACTTGGCCACCTGCCCTCACGGGCCAAACCCCTCCTGTTGCTCCCAGTCAGTCTGGTTTTTAGAGGCATCATGGGAATAGAACAACTGGATACACTAATCTCTGCAGGGAGTCAGGCAAGAGATTCACCTTCCCCAATCCCAGGGAATAGGAGAGAAACCTGTAAAGGGACAGATGCACCATCTTTATTTTTCAACGAAAAAGCTCCCTCAGATTTTGTTATTGAGTCTCATTTGTGACATTTGCTGAACTTTCTCCCCAGTCCTCCCTTCCTATTGGCTAAGTTTTATGTAAAAATAATAAACATTTTAGGTTAATATGACAAAAATAAGATAAAATCTTAAAAATATTTTCTTAGTTTACAGTTACTAAAATGTGCTTACTATAAAATAGTAAAATATTTCACTCTGCAAATCATCACTGAAGTTATTCTATCCTATTGATTGTGAGCCTTCAAAAATGTTTAATGCTTGAAAGATGGTTTGGGAGGTAGGGAGTCCTTTTCTTAAAAAAAAAATTTAATGAGGCCTCTGTTACATATCATAAAACTCACCCATTTCAAGTGTATAATTCAGTGATTTTAGTAACTTTCCTCAGTGGTATAACCATAACCATTACTCAGTTTTAGAACATTTTTATCCCTTCCAATAAGATCCTTCATGCTCTTTTACAGTTAATCCTGTTCTTACTCTCAGTAAACACCAGTCTACTTTCTCTATAAATTTGCCTTTTCCGGACAATTTGAATCAATGGTATTATATAATATGTGGTCTCTTGTGTCTGGCTCTTTTATGTAGCTAATGTTTTTGAGGTTTGTCCATGACATATAACGTCTTGGTAGTTTGTTCCTTTTATTGCTGAGTAGAATTCCATTGATGGATATACCATATTTTGTCAGCAGAGAGCCTTTAAACTTGGATTCCAACTTCCTGTGGTCTAAATGGAACCCTCTGAACATAGGACTTATAGGGGAAGCTGCTGTGCATGTTAAAAAAAAAAACTAATCAGTACGAGCTTTGTCATCCGGAGCCAGAACTGCTGCAGAAATTTTTGTAATTTTGCAACTTCTTTTTTACAAGGAACTTTTGTGCTACTACACGTCAGGACTTTTGAAGCATCTGATAAATCCATTTAACAAGTATAAGCATGTGTCTGAGTGGACAAGAAAGTGAAACCATTCATACTACATTGGATATTTTTCCTCCCCCAGACTGGACCCCCTGGGGGAGGTCTCTCAACTTGTTGAATAGAGTATTCTGTCTCCATTTACAAAGCTGCACAGGTATTAAAGATCTTGCTGCCTTTGTTGGGCAGATTTGGAGGGGGACCCAAAAGCAAAGATGGAGAGGAAAAAGGGCATGGAGCTTGTGAAACAGGAAGCCCCCAGGGTCTGTGCCGGGCTGCTCAGCCCTTCAGGACGTTGTGGATGGTGAAGTGCTGTTGGTGTCCCGGGCAGCCAGCACCTCCACTGGGCCCGGAAGGTCTTGACTTTGGACACTTACCCCTGTTTCACAAGTGTTTAAAAGCTGTTTTTGCTTTTGTTTTTTTCCTAAATAATGATTACTTGGTACTTATTAATCCTTCTTTGGGGGACGGGCAGGGCTTTAAAACTGAAGAAAGTAATTTTCATAAAATATCAAAAATGGAAAAAAGTTACTTTGTAAAAAATTTGCTATACAAACCAAATGGCAGCTGTTGAGAATCTCAATAAAATGTTAAGTGTATTTGCTAGCAGTGCTACCCTTTTGCCTAAGGTTGGGTCACTGTGTCATTATAATGTGTGTGTTGGGGAGGTTGGTATATGTGAACTTTTTGTCTCACACATAAGTTGTTTCATGGGTCATAATCTGAGTTGCAGTTTTCCTTTCAAATAGGATTACAAAGTAGTAAAACATGGGCTTGGAAGTGTCAGACCTAAGTGAGTCCCACCTTCACGAGTTGGTGCCATTGGCCTGAACTTTATTTACAAATAACCTGTTTGTAAAGGTGCGACACCTCTCCCCTGGGACTATAATGACAGAATTTTAAAATACCACCTGGCACATAATGGGCAGCTAATGGTGGCAATGATTTGTACAGCTTTGAACAAAGAGGCAGTGAGATCTTTGGGCTAGAAGGGAAACTAGGCATTTGTTTTCCTGTTTCTGGGCAAAACTGACTCCTACCTAGAAACAAGTATTCCACTTCTGCCTTTCAGCTGTTGAACAAGTTTCACAGCCTGCTGCATGTCAAGCACTGTTTTAGGCACAGGGGTTACAGGGGTGACCAGGCAGCTACAGTCCCTGCTGTTGTGATTATGGTTTGGGGATGCCTAATTATTTCAACTTAAACCTCGCTCGAATCTCCCAGTGATTTCTTGAGGGGTTTTATGATATGGCAAAAACTGTATGGGACCAGCCCAGGGCCCATGGGTTTTACTCTGAGCCCTGTCATTTCTTTGCCTCCTTCCTAAAAACAGAGGGTGAGGGATTGGGGTATTCTGAGCTGAATTGCCTATTTAAAGCATTTTTAAATAGTATAGTTATATGTAGTTTTGTGTATATAGGGTTTATTAGAATGTAACTTCCTTGAAGAGGTGGATGCTGTATTCATTTCTAAAATTCCATTAAAAAAAGGTAAAATTTCATTAAATGTAGTTGAAGTACAATGTTACAGAAAGGTACAGATATTTGGTTTGCAATTCTATGAATTTTCACTACTGGAAAAAAAGGTGTACTTATTTTTAATCCTTAAAGTGCTCATGACACCTACAAGACATTCAATAAATGTTTGCCGAATGAATGGGACAGATGAGGCTGTACTATCCCTGAGATGACACAGGGAGACAAGGCAGTGCCTCATTCTAGTGCTTGTTCCAAACTCTCTTGTCTCCTCACAGGATTGTTACCAACTCAGATGAGATGTATACATCTTTAATGCCTTGGTAATGCAAAATTCCCTGAATTGCTCCTGATAGCTTGTTGGGGAAAGGACACTAAGTTTAAAATTAAAGGGGGAGAAACAGCAAAATTCACTTATGGGCTGGGCATGGTGGCTCACACCTATAATCTCAGCACTTTGGGAGCCCAAGACAGGAGGATTGCTTGAAGCCAGGAGTTCGAGACCAGCCTGGGCAACATAGCCAGACCCATCGCTACAAAAAAAAAATGCCAAAATTAGCCGGTGATGGTACATGCCTGTAGTCCCAGCTACTCAGAAGGCTGACGTGGGAGGATCACTTGAGCTCAGGAATTCAATGCTGCAGTGAGTTATGATCATGCCACTGCACTCTAGCCTAGGCAAGTGTGAAACCCTACCTGTAAAATAATTTTTTTTTTTTGAGATGGAGTTTCGCTGTTGTTACCCAGACTGGAGTGCAATGGCATGATCTTGGCTCACTGCAACCTCCGCCTCCTGGCTTCAAGCAATTCTCCTGCCTCAGCCTCCCAAGTAGCTGGGACTACAGGCGCGCACCACCATGCCCAGCTAATTTTTGTATTTTTAGTAGAGATGGGTTTCACCTTGTTGACCAGGATGGTCTTGATCTCTTGACCTCGTGATCCACCCACCTCAGCCTGTAAAATAATTTTTTTTAAGAGTCTCGCTCTGTCGCCCAGGCTGGAGTACAGTGGCGCAGTCTAGGCTCACTGCAGTCTCCACTTCCTGAGTTCAAGCGATTCTCCTGCCTCAGTCTCCTGAGTAGCTGGGATTACAGGCGCCTGCCACCACACCCAGCTAACTTTTTGTATTTTTAGTAGAGACGGGGTTTTGCCATGTTCACCAGGCTGGTCTCGAACTCCTGACCTCATGATCCACCTGCCTCAGCCTCCCTAAGTGCTGGGATTACAGGTGGAGCCACCACACCTGGCCTGTAAAATAAATTTTTTAAAATCACTTGTGATTTTCTGCACTGCGACCTGTGTAATAGAGCCTTAATAACTGGGGAGTAAGTGACCTCATCACATCTTCTAAATGTGACATTAACTAGGAACTCATCTGACCTTATGCACTTTAATACTGCCTTTTTTCAGCATTTTTTAAACACATATGCTGGGACTAAAAAAATCAAGATGTGTTCTGCCACTAAAATTTCCATTGTCCAATTGGAATTTCAGTTTTTCACCAAAATACTATTTGATCCTCTTGAGAGCATATTTAAAAAAGAATCCCCAAAGCTCACTACTCATTCATAACCCAACAGTATTATCAAAACTGTGGGATACAGCAAAGATAGCTCTGCTGTGTCCTTGTTCTCCCTGCAAGCTTTTTACCAGGAGCTGGACTGGAAACTTCCTGAGTGCTAGACCACAGTGATGGTCATAGGTGGATGGGAAGATGGCTGGCTGTACTTTCAGAAGGGACCTGGCTGGAGTTCTTATTGCTCAAAACTCCAGCTTGCACCATTGAGCTAGCGCTGATGGAAGGAGAGCTGCTATCTTTCTGTTCTACATGAATGCTACACTGTGAAAGAACAGTGTCACCTGACTTGAGCGACAAGGTAGTATTCATGATGCCTTAGAGGGCCTAATCAGAACTTAGCAGCTGTAGCAAAGAACTCCAAGTGCAGATGCTGGACCTCTGCAGCAGAAATTACTCAAGCTGATTAGTATAATAGAAATAAAAATTTCCCATCCCTCCTTAACCTATTATCATCAGATACCATAGGGCAGGGGAGGGGAGAAGACAGAAACCTGATTTTAAAACAAACTCTACAATGACTGATGTCTGTAAGTTGGAGAACGGATGTGCAGGACATGATCCATGCCTCCTCATAAAACAGCTGGAGAGGCAGCTATTGTGGATCAAGACTGTCGTCTTCAGTCTTCACCAAGCAGCACAGGCAGTGGAACGAAGCTTCAGGCTTGTCTTCACAGTGGCACTATGGTATCTGGAGGACAGGAATCTTGTCTGCTTTTCACTGATGCCCCTCATTCCCCGGGCCAAACAACAAACCAAGTGTCTTGCTGTAAGCAGAGCCAGGCTGGTAGTAGCCAGGAATAGGTGAGTGGTGCCTAGTTGGTCTTCTTGGATCTCAGCAATCCTCGTAACCTTTCAAGAACTCATTCATATGAAAAACTGGCAAAATGTCCTGCTTACCTGCAGTTACTAAATCCAGTGAGGTAAGGATGCTTCTAGTCTAGAATTGTACACTGGCCCTTATGGAGTACCATGAGGTGTGTGATATGCCTAAGGTACTCCCTGTGATGATCTGCATGGTAGACACTTGGTTCTGGTGACTGTGGTCACACAGGGATCATTACCCATTTGACAAGACAGAAGAAAACAGGTCACAGGTTAAGTGAAAGCCACACAGTGTGTATGTGTGGTAATGTGGGGGGAAGGGTATAACAGATAAATTTTCTGCCCAAGTGCATGCTGAGTGGATGTAGATCACATCTGGGAGCAGGGCTTTAAACCTTGGACTAAACCCACCCTGAGCCTTCTGGGATATCTGCTGGGAGGTGCACTGAGGATGTACACAGCCCATGTGTTGGACAACGCAGTCCAATTGGGGACTGGATGAAGTGCATTTATTTTCTTCCATGTGTGTTTTCGTAAAAGAAAAAGGAAGCAAAAGGACTCCTTCCTTCCAGACCCAGTGTCCACTGAGCTTGGAGTGGGTGGAGCTGGGACCAGGCCCCCAGGAAAATGTGTAGGAATAGAAGGCAATGGCATTGACGCTATAGTCCATGGGGAGGTGGTGCCCGACGTGCCTGGCCCCTAGGCTGGCCCCACCCAGCGCGGAGGAGTACTTCAGCTTCATCAGGGTGAAGCTGGAGAAGTAGTTCTGAGCCTGGATCTCTCTGCCCTGGGTCAGTGCCGAAAGAAAACCTGGAAGGCTTTCTCCTTCTGCCATGATTGTAAGTTTCCTGAGACCTCCCCAGCCATGCTTCCTGTATACCCTGCAGAACCCTGAGCCAATTAAACCTCTTTTCTTTATAAATTGCCCGGTTTCAGGTATGTATTTACAGTAGTGTGAGAAGAGACTAATACAGGTACACAATAACTGAGTAGATATAGGGATGAATAAATGAATGAGGTGAAACAGATAACACACTACAGGAGATCAGGAGAGGAGTTACTCCTGGAGATGATCATCAGCAATGGCCTTTATGAGGAGTCTTTGAAGGACAGGGAGGATCTGGACAGGCAGAGGAGGGGGACATAAAGGCATATTGGGGACAATGAAGTTGCCAGTCTGATCAGTGCAGAGGTTCCACAGAGAGGCAGGAAATGGCCATATTTACAAACCAAAGAGATTTGGTACTGCTGGTCCTAAAGGGAGGGGAATGGACTTGACCCTTTTGAAATGACTCAAAACCAATTGGACAGTGCCAAGTTTTTACAATGCAAGGTCCAGGGCTGGCCCCTCAAAGGTAAAGTGTTGGGTTGAGAAGTGATGGTGTTGATCCAGTGTAGTAAATACAACAGCATCTAAGAGAGGTGTGTTCTCACTTGCGCATGCTGGAGAAGGAAAGCCTCTTAAAAATGATCTGGTCGAACTTGCTTATTTGGCAGGAGAAATGGAGACCAAGAGAAGGGAAGACTGCCAGATGGAGGCGGAGGCAGGACTTGAATTTGGAGTCCTGTGAGATGTGCTGCCTGTGCTACCCTGTCACTTCCTCCTTTCTGGGCAGCCAGGAGAGCGGTTTGCATTTCTCAGTTCAGCTGTCCCCAAGGAGATGGGCCAACCCAGACCCCATAGTCCCTCTGGCAAACACTAAAGGTATTATGTGGGCTTCAG